TGCCTAGAACTTTGGTAGGTGTGGGTAGGGACGAATGCTTTGATAAAGCTCCCCTAGAGATTCTGATATGACCCTTCATAAATGACCATTTATGTAGATTAAGTATGATTTGTTCCTGTAGTAATTAAAGGTACAGTTTAGAGTCAGAAAATGATAGCCTCTCTAACGCTAAGTGCTCATTGCTCATACTTTCACTGGGGTGTGTAGGAAACATTAATGCATGTGTTTACATGTTTGCCAGGTGACAAAATCCTATGAGCTATTTAGAGAAGAGTCAACTCTCTTTGTACATGGCCAAAGAAAATAAAAGCTAATTATAGCAAAAGAAGGACTAGTTGGTTATAAGTAGATGTATCAAAATACAGCCCCTATTTACTGTGTGGGATAAATCAGGACAATAGCAGAAGGAATGAAAAATGGCGTGGTGATATCAGCAGGCAGACATAGAATTTTGGAAGTGGATAATGTGTAAAAGATGAGGAAGTATTGGTGTTCCATTGGTATTCTTATGGCTTCTCTGTGGTCTCTAACAAACTCAAATAGAGAAAAACAAGAGGGAGATAACATGGAGATAATGTCAATTTTGTTTTGAAACTCATGTATTCAATACTTGCAGGATTTCATGGCCTGAAAATATGCCAGAAGATACTGGTAATTCATTTTTTGTAGAGGCAAGGTTTAGAGAGTCATATAAGACAAGTAACAACTAAAGCAGTGAAAATAGAAAATGTTCCATTTAAAGGTGACTGGAAGGTGAAAGTTTCAGGGAAAAGTAGTGTGGAGGGGTTGAAGTTAAGTCATGATGGTCTTGGCCTAGGATGGCCCGGGTAGATGAGTCCCCACCTCAGGGTCTGGGTAATAATTATGTCCAGTACCTGCTATTCTCTCTCCCCTGATCTTTAGCTGTTGGTTTTCGTTGCCATTACATTCTCCGCTTAGTATTTTACTTCCCCAGAGTTTGCTCAATTCCATGAATAAAAATACTCATCCCTCACATCAGAAATTCCATTATGTCTAGTTCGCATAGCAGGCATATCACACACATTGTCAATTTTTGTTGGATAAATTCTTGATTTTTACAGTCGTTTTATCACATTGTACTTTAATTTCATTCATTTGTAAATCAGAATGAAAAGTCCTACAACCTGGCAGAAAACCGTTTTGTCTACCTTAGCCTGTTGTCCAGCATCTTGTAGGTGCTTCCTGACCTGATTCCATTGTCTTCTTTTCCCCATAGCTATAGTATAAGTAGAAGACAGGGCCTCTTAAACCAGCAATGTTATTTGTTTTGTTGTCTCTTTTTTGCCTTTAACCTTTACAAAGTATTCTCCATTCAGGGTTTCTTTCTTTTTCTTGCACAGTCCTTCCATAATTTCTTATTATTTTTCTGTCTGAAGATGTGATAGACATTTCTAAAGCTAAGGTGACAGAAGGAAAAATCAGAATTCTATAAGATGTTATTGTATGACTTTCCTGTCCTTATCTGTCCTATAAGTTTAGGTGTTTAGTAAACAATTGAAGTACATATGTGGCTTGCCAAATTGATTGGGGGAATGTGTGTTGATTGGATTCAGTCTCACATAACAAGTATACCTTCTAGAAAATATCCAGAGATTCAGCTGAAAATGCAAATTTAGTTAGAATATAATGATTAGAATATTTAATTTCAGAATAAGACTATACCTTTAAAACTCATATTAGCTCCAAAATAGTAGACTATATTTGAAAAATCGAGAATTTTAATGAGAAA